TTTGAAATTAGCAATGGAGGCTTGGCTATAGAGATATGTAAGAAACTAATGACTTAAATGTCTTAAAACAAATCACCTAAACGCCGTCATTAGCGCATTTGGTAAACATGATAATTTAAACAGAATAACTGACTCTTCATCCGCTTTCTTCACAGCCATATTATCACCTCAGATGTGCTTTATTTCTAATAATTTGGTGGCACGTTGTCAATTGTTTTTACAAGTGAAATTAATACTAGGAATTATTCATTTTGACATATATAAATAAATAAATAAATAAATAAATAAATAAATAAATAAATAAATATATACATACATACATACATACATACATACATACATACATACATATATATATTACAACATATATACATACAATATATATATTTGATTGTAGATATTAACACTTTACATTTGTAAATTATGAACTATTATTAGCTATTATCATTGGCTACACATATCTGATAGGGCTACACTGTAAAAAAAATGCAAAGGATTCCACACAATATATTTATGCTGTCACAACATAAATTGATTAAGTTAACGTAACATATATGGATTGTGGATTGAAAGTGAATTGAAAATAAAGCAATTAAGTTGTAAGCATTAAAAAACCCTCAAGAACTGTGTTGATTTAGCTCATTGTTCATAAGTAGTTCGAACAGGCAGCAAAAAAATTTTTACCATTGTATGTCTGCAACATCCTCTGCATTGATATACCATAGTTAACATTTGAAACAGATAAAAAAAAAAGTTTCAAATAGTTCATATATTTCCTAAGTGATGCTTAACAGAGCAAGAATTCTCACAGTATTTGCTTTGTTTTTTCTGGAAAAAGTCTTACATTTATTTTAGTTTGGCTGCAATAAAATGAATTTTTACCTTTAAAAAAATTATTCAAAGTTCAATATAATATGTTTAATCATTTTAAGATCAATATTATTAACCAGATATGATTTTTTTTTTGATTGGTCACAGATTAAACCACTTGTATCCAATGACTTGCCTTATTAACCCAACTTGCCCACTTAAACAGATTTACATAGTTAAGTCTTTAAATATAACTTTAAGCTGAATGAAAAACTAGTAATGCCAATCCAGCATTATTTGGACTAACAGGTAACCTCACAGCCATAAGATGTTTAAACACTTTCCAACAATAAATCGCAAGTTTCATTTCCATGATCTGACCAATTGCGATAAAACATTGTTTTGTCATTCAGAGCTATTCTGAGAAAATATCAACGTGAGAGTTTTCAGAAACATGAGTCCACAACCAAAGCAAACCATAAGTTGACTGTTAAAGATATCAAACTCGACTCTGTATAGTCCTGAATAGCCAGCCTGATCTCATGAGAAAACGTAAGTATTTTACGTTTGTCAGTTTAGTGGCTAATTTGTACAAGTTCAGTCAAATAAAAATGTACGAATTTAAAAAGGAGGCGTGGCAACCAACTCCACCCCTAAACCCAAACGTCATTGGGTGGTGAGTAAATTTTAATAAATTGTACAAAATATATCGTACGAATTAGCCAGTAAATAAAAAATTTATGAATTTTTTACGAATTACTGATACGTGTGCTGAACCTTTTGACTATACAAGTTTGAATTCCTTGATGACATGTACATTTTACATATTTTAAAGATTAATTTTGGTTATATGTTGTTCTGACACACAAATATTAAAATCAATAATGTTTATAAATAATATTAATAATAATAAACATTAAAAATTCAGTTCTTAAATCAGGTCTACTAATGACTCAGTATCGTTCCTTTTGCACCCACACCTGTCCAGCATTGTTTGATCAAACAGGTAACATCACACCATAGTCATAATATGCTTAAACACCTTTCTAAAAACTATTTCCAAGATCTGACCATGTCATCTGACTTAATCTAAACATTTAACATCTCACATTCCTAAACGAGCAAGAAACTGCAGGCTCCATCACGAATAACCCTTACAATAGTGTCTGATGAATTTAGCTCATAATGATGTCTGCAGGCTATTCATTTACCGTTAGTGTGAACTACCAGAATGCAGTGGGTCAAGGCAATACACTGGTGAATTGTGGTGATTTGCTTGGTGCAGAATTATCACAACAAAGCCCGTTCTCAAATGCAACTGGGAATAAAAGCACAATAATGTGAAACGGTGTTATAAACGTGCAGACCGTGACCGAGACTGGAACACTACAGCGCATCTGAGCATGATGCATTCTGTCAGCTTGTTATAAGAATGGTTCGCATTGCATAACGCAAGAGACATAATGCCAGTTTGGAAATGGAGCAAGAGAGAGAAGATTTGCAGAACAAAACACCTTCCATTTTTATTCCTTTCATTTCTGTACTGAAAGGTAAAATAGTCTTTTTTTTTAGATTCGCTATAATTATACACAACAGATATGTGCAAAATAAAAATGGTTTCCAGGATTACCAATGATGTCATCAAGAGGAGCTGTCATCCAAAATAAGCCATTTTAAGCTTGATGACAACTCAGTAGATTTAAACATATTTTTGGAATTGCCATTTCATGACACTAGAAGTAAACATGCGTCTCTGGCTTAGCTCAATAACATTTTATGAACACTTAAACCATAAATCTGAAATTTTTACATGATTACATGAGCATGCTAATGACATGTAGATATTTGAAAGTGTGGTCATGTCTTTGCAATATTTTCCATTATACTTTTAAATTCAGAATACATCATTTTCATATACAACTAAACTCAGAACCCCTCACCCCCTGCATATTAATTTGTATAATCGACTGCTTTATTAAAAGAAAAAATTAACCTTTGATTACATTGAACTTTGCTATGCATAAACAAAAGCTTAGCATTTTAATTGCTAATAACACCCTCCATGAATAATCAAAGCCTGGACTGCCTCTGGAAAGTAATAAATTTGAAATAATAGTCCAGCAAATGACCAATGATAATGGTGTGAAATAATTAGTCATACAGCATTAACATTTAAAATGGCTATTATAATACTTTGTGGAAATAATGACCTGACTTCACTCGAACAGTCGATCAACCGTTTTATATATCAGATAATTACAAACAATATAATGAAATGAGGCTATATACAGTTGAAGTAAGTATTATTAGACCCTTAGCCCCCCTGTATATTTTCCCCAATTTATGTTTAACAAGGAGAAGATTTTTTTTCAACACATTTCTAAACATAACAGTTTTAATAACTAATTTCTAATAATTATTTTATCTTTGCCATTATGACAGTAAATGATATTTTACTAAATATTTTTTCAAGACACTTCTATGCAGCTTAAAGTGACATTTAAAGGCTTCACTAGGTTCAGTTGGTTAACTAGGCAGGATAGGGTAATTAGGGAAGTTGTTGTATAACAATGGTTTGTTAGACTATCGAAAAAATTTATAGCTTAAAGGGGCTAATAATTTTGACATTAAAATAGTTTTAAAAAAATTTAAAACTGGTTTTATTCCAGCCAAAATAAAACAAATAAGAAAAAATATTATCAGACATACTGTTAAAATGTCCTTGCTCTGTTAAACATCATTTAGGAAATATTTAAAAACAATTGAAGGGGGCCAATCATTTTGACTTTAACTGTATGCATGCATGTATATATATATATATATATATATATATATATATATATATATATATATATATATATATATACACCAATATATATATATATATATATATATATTTTTTTTTTTTTTTTTAACTGTATGCATGTATGTACATATATATATATATATATATATATTTTTTTTTTTTAACTGTATGCATGTATGTACATATATATATATATATATATATATATATATATATATATATATATATATATATATATATATATATACACCAATTTCTGTTTAATGGAGGGAAGATTGTTTCAGCACATTTCTGAGCATAATAGTTTTAAAAACTTATTTCTAATAACTGATTTATTTTATCTTTGACATGATGACAGTAAATAATATTTTACTAGATATTTTTCAAGACACTTTTATACAGCTTAAAGTGACATTTAAAGGCTTAACTAGGTTAATAAGGTAAACTAGGCAGGTCAGGGTAATTAGGCAAGTTATTGTATAACGATTGTTTGTTCTGTAGATTATCGAAAAAAAATTAGCTTAAAGGGGCTAATAATTTTGTCCCAAAAATGGTTTTAAAAAAATTTAAAACTGCTTTTATTCTAGCCGAAAGAAAACAAATAACACTTTCTCCAGAAGAAAAAATATTATTAGACATACTGTGAAAATGTCCTTGCTCTGTTAAAAATAATTTGGGAAAAAATAAAATAAAATAAAAAGTTAGCCTATTTGTTGTTCCTATGGATGTCAATAGGACACAGGCTTTTGACTATCTTCAAGATATCTTCCTTTGTGTTTAACAGAAGAAAAAACTTATACAAACTTGAGGGTAAATAGTGCGGAAATTGTCATTATGGGCGAACTATTACTTTTAAAAAAGGCCATACTCATCACTACTGTGATTCAGAACAAATAAGTGGCATACAAGGTGGTCTGAAGAAAGTTCATAAGGGTCACTGCATGGGGCCATCGTTTGTATTTATGTTTGGTGTGTCAATAAGTAAAATAGCTCTTTACAAAGAAATGTATATATAGACAATAATTCACAACAATGCAATTGTTCCTAAACAAACAGGTATTGACGAAAGCTTCAAAATGACCAGAAACTAAATAGGCCAGGATTGATTGTTGTTTGCACTTGTTGTGTGAGCTGACCCGCGCAAGACCAATCGATCTTATTCTCTCTGACAGACTGACTGACTTGCATGCTTGTTTATGGAAATCATATCCAACAGTATACTCACAGCTCTTTGTCTTGGCGTCAGGAAACATTACGGGGATCTTTTGTTTGAATTGACTCGCAATTCCCTCGCACACCCTACTAAATTATCTGAACACATTTTCACTATTTGACACGGCTAATGAACCCCATTTTTATGGCACAGTTGTAAAAGGTTGCCCACCTTAATTTGTAGTGCTTCCACGTCTCTCAGGCTCGTGAAACGTTAAGTTGGTTTGCGATTAGAAACTGAGACCGGTGACCGTTGAAACGGTTTGCATCCTGAGTGTGATATCGACAAAACTACAGGAGGCTATTTTCAGTTCCAGTCTTTGTGCTCGCTGATGGATGGGAAACAGGTCTTCAGAGGAAGAGGCGAGAATCCCCGAGGGGTGTTTTAGGAGAGGAATGACTCCTTCAAATCCCGACGCCTATCCGTCAGTTTCACTCTATCTGAAATCCGCCGAGAACTTGAAGCATCGTCCACTGCTGGACGCCAGGACTCATTGAAACCGAAAAAACTTCCGAAATTAATCGCCTTCAGTCAGAAGGAAATCCCACAACTATGTCGTCGACGTAGCTTCCACACAAAATAAATGTCCAGTGTGCAGAAATAGCAAATCCATAACATCCAGTGCAATTGAAATCCTTACAGCTGAAGAGTGTTCGTTCAAAATGCTCACGTTAACTATTGCTATTTTGCTTTTTAAAACATTTCTCGTAGGAAAATAGGTGTGTTTACATGAACTGTTCCATATTAAGACTCTAAATAGCCTAATTTAAGTAAGCGAATGTCAGATTAAAAATACTGGTGTGGTCCTGAGGGTCCCAATGATCAGGACTGAACTTCTCTTTCCCTCTCCCTATCTCTCTCTCTCACACACACACACAGACACACACTGTGGGTGTTTGTGTGCAGGAGACAAAAAGGGATGGAGGGATTTACACATGTACTGTATTTAGAGAGCACAACACAAAATGACAGACTAAAAGACAGATGATTGTGTGAAACCAGCATATCTAGTCCATTCATTGGTCAAATCTGAGTTTAAAAATGCACATGAGGAGATTTCTGAAATGTAATTTATGCACTTTAGCAATGAACACAGAATTCCCTGCTTTATATGATTATTTAAAGCCCTCATTTGCCACAAATTAAGCAGGTCATGGAAAGGGCTGAGAGGATGCTAGACAGTCGTTGTGAGGTTTAACTGAGATGGTGGATTAAATCCAAAAAAACTACAATGAAAACAACAGAACGAGGAAGGGATGGAGAGATGGGTATTTGTGTGCCAAGGGAGTATGGGGGATATGAATGCATGAGAGAGGGAGGGTGGTGTTGGTTTTTCTGTGTCACTGAAAGAGAAAGCGAGTGAGGATGGGGGAAGGGTGCTGGATAGAGGAGCGCAGGAGGAGGGAGGGAGCCAGGGATGGAGAGACCGACTGCACGAGCATTCATATATATGTGTGTAGTGTGTGCATGTTTCCAGGAGGAAGGAGAAAATGATGTTAGGTATGCAAGACTTCCTCGCTGACATCTCTCAGACAGAGCTGCTACAGTTATGTGCACGCATACGCGAGACAAAAAAGATTCATAAATTGAGCTGTTTGGTTTGATTTCATCTCCGGTTTGATGTAATGGGTCTCAAGACATTTTTAGGGGCTAAACGTACAGCTGTTCAAGGCTGTTTGTTTGATCTTGAATTATTGAGAGTGTGTTGCTGAAATACACAGCGGTGGATTATTTATTTATGTGCAGTCCACTTTCAGCGAAGAAAAAAGATTACACATTCGCCCTCATGTCCAATTTGATAAGTGGTCCAAAAATACTGCAATGGACTGAGCCACTTAGCAACATCTTACAATGTGTGAAAGAAAAAGAAATCAAGAAATAACCATGCTTTAAGCCAGCAGTGTATGCCTTTGCACTTGGGTTGTTTTAGCACAAATTTGGGTAAAATATTGATCAACTTAACATTTTTGTTATTTTCTTTATACAGTCAGATTTATTAGCCCCCCTTTGAATTTTTTTCTTTTTAAAATATTTCCCAAATGATGTTTAACAGAGCAAGGAAGTTTTTACAGTATGTCTGATAATATTATTTCTGCTGAAGAAAGTCTTATTTATTTTATTTCGGCTAGAATAAAAGCAGTTTTATATTTTTTCAAAGTCTTTGTAAGGACAAAATTTTTAGCCCCTTTACGCTATTTTTTCTCGATTGTGTACAGAACAAACCATCCTTATACAATAACTTGCTTAATTATCCTAACCTGCCTACCCTAGTTAAGCCTTTAAATGTCACTTTAAGCCATATAAAGGACTTGAAAAATATCTAAAATATTATTACCTGTCATCATGGCAAAGATAGAATAATCAGTTATTAGAAATGAGTTATTAAAACTGTTATGTTTAGAAATGTGTTACAAATCTTCTCTCCATTAAACAAATTGGGGGAAAAATAAGCTAATAATTCAGGGAGGCCAATAATTCTGACTTCAACTGTACATTGGCAAGGTATTAAATGTAAAAGAATTTACAAAACAAGACTTCAATCTTCGAAGAGTCATCAAATGATTCTTCAAACTATTCCTGACAAGATTTTTTTTATTGATATATACAACTACACTGAAAGATATTTCAGTAAGCTAAAATCACTGTATAAAATCAGGGTAAAAATCTATAAGTTAAAAAAAGAAAACAATTTAGTATGACTTTTATATGTAGGGCTTTTGTTGACAATTTCTTTTTCATCTTTGACTCACAAACAAACATTAATAATAAGAAAAGCTAACTATATTTGTACTTAGATGTACATCTAAACAAAAATAGAACATAGTTTCTTTAAATATATTATTAAAAATTAAGATTGAAAAAAATCAATTAAATTAAATAAAGCGTGTGTCAAAGCTGTGCAATTTTTTGGCCATTCAAAACAATTTTGCTTCCATTCTGAATTAAGATTACAGCACATAAAATAACTTACAATCAACTGAGTGTAAAGAACTTACAAGCCCCTTTCGCACACAGTGATAACTATAAATATCCAGAAGATTTCCAGAACAACTTGAAAATTCAAAAAAGCACTGTTCACACAGGCAAGGATGTTCCAGAATATTTCTGAAAAACACCATTTACATGTCCATTCCAAAATACCTGTAAATTCTGACATCATTAACCAGAAATGAGCTCTAAACGGCTGCGTTTGTATCTGTAAACATTTGACTACATTACAAACTCTGTGGATGGATGAGTATTGTGAACAACTTCAATGAAAACATATGTAGGAACACTTTCGCATGTCGAGATGTACATAATGTGTGTGTGCTGGCGCTCACCAGCTGCTTCATGTGCACACTAGGCATGGGACGATAACCGTTTTCAAGGTTTACTGTGATTTGGAAAAGTCAAGGTTTTAAAACCGTCAAAATTTTCTGCTATTTTCTGCTTTCTCCTAAGGTATGTGTACCTTTTTTTTTTTTTCTAAATTTTTTTTGTTTGTTTTGAGGACAACAGTATCACCAGCAAAAAAGATATCCAAAGAAGCCATTTTAAATTGTAAAAATATATCTGTTTTTGAAATAAATGAAGAGAGCAGAAGTCAATGATTCATTTTTAATTATTTTATAATTTATTTAGCCAGACATGTTTACTGTTCCAAAATATTCAAATATAATATATTGTGTTTAAAAGGGAAAACGTTTTTGTTTTTTACCCAGACATTTAAAAATATATATATATTTTAGAGCAGTAATCACAATACTGTGATACCGTGAAACCATTATATTAAGTGTCGCTTATACCTGTGAACTTACATGGTAACTAGATGTGTAAGTACAGTCGTATGTACTATAACTACAGTGCATGTATACACTGGTACCAAGGTCCTTTTAAAGCAAGTCATTTTACTCGGCGGCCATCTTTGAAACGCCTTTCGGGCAGTATGCTCGGGCATTCTGTCTGAATGGGTAAACATCAAATTCTCCAAAACTACTTGCAAAGCTTACAATTACATTTCATATTACGAATCACCAATAAAACTAAGCAACAACTGTCTATTTAGTTTCATTTCTAAATGTTCGTATCACACAAAATCTGCAGAAACTCGTGTCTGGTCCGAGCCCCTCCCCTGGAGAATTTTCATTATAGCAATCGCTGATTGGCTACTGTATTAGAAAGTGGGCTTTATTCACCATATAGCAATCGCTGATTGGCTCCGAGAAGGCGGGGCTTTAATCGCCATATTGACAGTTACACTTTTCTCCATTCAAAAGTATACGAGTGACACGTCTTGTGTTTTCTAGTCTTTGCTAGTAGATAGTATTAACTTGTGTAATAATGATGTAACACATGTACCAACACACTGAATAGTATGTGTGAGTTTAAATGTGTAACAGGACTTTGGTGAAAACACTAAAAAAGTACACATCTGTAACAAAAATTACATAAGTGCACTGTGTAACAACAATATAAAAAAATCCAAGTTACAAATTGTTAACTCAGATTAAAATCGTAAGTTAGATGGACATATTTTAGATTTAGAATCTAACTAAATTTAGTTAGATTTTTGTGATAACAGTTGTATTTACTCATGAAAATGATTTAACTGTCATGATTTAACTGTCATTAACTGAAATGTTTCGAACTGTTTGTTCAACTGAAGTAAAAAATTCAGTTGAGGAGCCTTTAAATTTTGTTTTCTTAATTTGAGCGTTTAGTAAAAAATAAAAAGTTGAGTTTAAAATTTTAAAGCAACCGGCTGCAAAGAAATGTTGAGTTTATCAAGCTTCAGTGGTTGAAGTTGTGCTAAATTATTTCGTAAAGTATACTTGACTTAAACCAGCCTATTTAGTCAACTTAAAAAAAATAATAATTTAGCACTTCAACCACTGAAGCTTAGAAGATCTCAAAATTTATTTTCAGCTGGTTGCTTTAAAATTTTAAGTTGACTCAACTTTTTATGCTTTACAGTGCAGGTGTTTTCCCATTTCCAAACTTGTTTGCATATCATGTACTTCTGAACACTGTATTAGAATAAGAGTGGCAGAACTAATGCTTCACCTTGTGATACCAGTGTAACAGGGTAAATCCTCAGGAACTGTCCACTCAATATAAAGTGTAAAATGGTCGAAAATTACTGTGTAATATATAAAACCTAAGCCATTTTAAGCCATTCTGCCAAAAAAGTATAAGTGCATATAGAAATATACAAATGCCTTATGTTTATATGTTGGTAAATTGTACAATTACATCAGTAATATGCACTAAAAGGGGTATTAAAGATTGTTATTAATGTCCTGTCACACTACCATGTACCAGTGTTTACATACACTGTAGTTACATACTAATTACACATCGAGTTACCATGTAAGTTCACAGGTATAAGCGACAATATAAAGTGGGACCACACCGGCCCATGCCTAGTGCACATGCGTCAAACAACTGAAGCAGAGCTTAAATGTGAACAAACAGCGGTTTATCATGAGCAGTTTACACAGTCGGCATTCAGTAGGAACATAGAAATGTTATCTGACTTTAATCTAGCAGCTAAATGTGTCTGGAAAAAATTCAAAGGCTTTTATTTTCATAAACAGTGTAAATTCATCTGAATGTTCTGATTAGCTAGAGTAGATGTCTCATGTCAGCGAGTTTTAAGCGTGAACGCACTCTTTCCGCCAATTTTCCTTCTGCGTTCACACAGCAAAGCATTCCAGCAACTTGCCAGGACTGGAATTTCTGTTTGCGGAAAATTGCCGGCAATTTTTTGGAAAGATCTGTATGAGTGAAAGGGGCTACAGTGAGTGCAGTGTTGCTAATTTTTGTGTTATCAAGAATTGAAATTTTCATTTATTAATTTTATTTTAGCTTAGTCTCGATTTTAGAGGTCGCCACAGCATGTTTTA